TAGTGGGGCAGTGGAACAGTGTGCCAGCGGTGTCTTACCTGTAGCTTTGTGCTGCACCAGGAAGAGGAAGGGCCGGTCCAGGGTCACTTCCTCGATGGCCATGCGGGAGTAGATAATTGCCGCTGCAGAGACAAGGGGGACAGACGTCAACACAGTGTCCACTACTGCACAGCACTTTCCCACTGGCTCCCAAACTGTATCACTGTCAAGACTCCACTAGTACCCAAACTGGTTATTACCAGGCGTGATGAGAATATCCCTGGTCAGACCATGTACAGTATATGATTAACTCAAGTTTATATATTATGACAAAAATATATTTAATAGTAGACATATAAACTCTCCATGTGATTAGTCACACACATATATCATTACCCCAGATCTATTTATAATTATTCAGCCTCCACTGATTATAAGTCAAAGTTCCACATTCTACATGTCATTAGTTATAATATATACGTATCACTAGTGATTCCGGTATGCTGAGGTGCCTGTGTTGGTCTATTATCCTGGTAGAGTGTTCATCTATCTCAGTGCCAGTGATTCTAGCAGAGTAGCCTGTTTAAGTGCCACTTGTATGACCAGTGTAGAGCACACACATGCCAGTGTCCGGTGTGAAAGTGTTAGCCCACTCCTGAGGGGAGATTTGTCAGCGTGTTCAGTGCAGTGCACAGTGTGCACACGGTGGTGTTAAGGCACATGAGACAGATGAAGGGAATAAGTTATACTGTACCTGTGGCAGAGGAGCCAGTGGTGCCTTCCTCATTGACTTCAATCTTTACTCGCTGCAGGACCTTGGACACGAACAGGTTCTCAAAGGCTGTGGGACAGAGAGACAGGCTTCAGAAAAAGATCTGTCAGCTAGTGAGCGCACTTTACTCTCCATTGAGTCACACGGCACCAACGTGGGCCAAGCCGCTGCTGGTAATCAAGTGCCAATGGTCAATCAAGCCATTCGTGCATTATAAAGATCAATCAATCAATTCATCAATCCATCCATCATGATTTTCATTGGTTTGAGAGGCTTGTTCATGGAGGAGGTGGAGGTAACATATGCTGACTCACCACTCATGCGAGAGAAGTCTGCCTCCCGCTCGCTGAAGATGTCGCCCAGGCCCAGATCAGAAAGAGCATCTTTCAGGTCGGTCTCAGTGTCGATGGAGAACCTGCCAGCACACATCACAAAGCACAGCTCCATGAGCTAGACCCAAGCTTCATCAAAGACAGTCAAATGTAAAAGAAGCTGTAAACACACGCAAGCAAATGAGTAGAATCAAATTTAAACTTGGATCCCTGTCTTTCAAGTACTGTGCCCTGTGCTCTGTACATGGGCATTCAGAAATGGTCCCAAATGTGGCCATCTTTCTAATATCTCATGTACATTGGTGTGTCATGGCAGAACCATACAGCTGGGATTTAGGATACAGGGTCTGTAGGCAATGATGTACCGGAGAGCTGTCACTCTATTCAGTTCTCTGTCTCAGTCTCACCTGGGCAGCGCCAGTTGTCTGCTCACACGCCGGAGCCCCGCCCTCCACTGCTGAATGCTCTGCCCGTTCAGCCCCTGTGTCAGCTCGGAGAGGGGCGTGTCCCTTTCGAAGGGGGACACCAGGAACATGCTCATTGTGTCCCCTTCATACGGCAGCTCAATGACATCGTACTCCAGCCCATCAGCGGTCATGAACTCCCCTGCAGAGAGAGAGATTCACAGGAAGCGAGGAGAAAGAGTGATGATCAGTAAAGGCATTAAATTTGAAAGCTGTGAATGCTGTCATTGCTGTCCTTGTCTGCTTCATATGTGTGTTCCATGGGCGCTAAGTACAGGAGGCCAGCTTTTCTCTGCCTGAAAGGTTTATACTCACACTTTCTCCTTTTTTTATTTTTCCTAATACCTCCTGATGTGTTGCTCATATTCAACCCTGATCTGACCTGCCATACACACTGAATATAACCTGAGTGTATTGCAGACAGCGCTAGAGCTACTGTTGTCCCTCTCTTTCTCTGCTTGCAATATATTTACCTTTTGAGATGAATAAAGTATATTTTATAAGAAAAAAAAATATTTACCCAAACTCTGTTCACACCAAACTTTAAGGACAGTAGTCACATTTAATCGCTTTAATGATCTACTAGCAACCAAACGAGCTAGGTAGGCCACATAGTCTGCTCTCACTTGTAAACTCTCCGTTGTGCCTATGTTCTACAAACAGCCTGAGCAAGTCCATCGGTGCGTACCGTAGTTGAAACGGCTGGTCATTTGCATCATGGGCACCGAGACCAGACTGCCGTTAGGGCAGTGGAAGATACGTTCCTGGGTGAGCTTTGGGTCAAAGGGCACCATCCAGCGACCCTGGAAGTGGATGGCATTGAGTAAGACCAGGCGGGTCTCCTCGCCGACTGAACCAGATGGCAGGAAGTCTGGGATCATGCCTGAGAGAAACAGAAACAGAGATCGAGACAGTCAGGGTGTGAGCTTGGAATCACGGGTGTATTTTGAGTGGCCAGCTCACACATGCTGTGTTGGACATGGGCACGGACCAGCCAATCAGTGCACTGTAGACTGAGTAATATTAGGTGTTCTATGGTAGTCAGTCATGGTCCAGGAGAGATTCACTCAATTAGGTTTATGGATCACCCTTTTATCAATTCGGTTCTGAAGCCCTGGAGCAGTTTACTTCTCCAGCAGGACATTTTTTAAATCATCTGTAGGCTTTTGGGAAAGCAAACACAAATGTCCTGGACACAGACATCCATGACCAGAGCCGGGACGTCTTGACTTAAATGAACCAGTTAACATGCTAAATTGGCCCAAAGCAGAAAAATACACCAAGCCTTTATGAACTGATGATTTAAGGCATGACCTTAATCATGGCAGCTCTCCAGGACCAGGGCTGACCACTCCGGGTGTCAGTCATGCAGCCCCTCACCTTCAGTGTTGTCGTACACCCAGTCATTGATGACCTTCAGTGCCGTCTCAGGCTCAGTGTAGTCCACCTGGTGCACGTCGCTCTGGAAGGCCTTGGCCAGCCCCCGGCGGAAAGCCCGCTCCAGCCTGAGCCTCCTGTCTGCCATGACGGCGTTGGCCACCTGTAATGCCCCCTCGTTTGCCAGCTGCTTCTGCAGGAGGCGCTGCTGTCGGGGAGCTCCCCGCACTGAAAGAGGCGACACAGAGAGAGAGAATGAACGTCTCTGGGCAAGAGCACAATGAGGAAGTGTAATCCTCTCCCTGCTTCTTTCTTTGGCTTTGATCAGAAATTGTGAAAGAGTGGAAGCTACAATATCGGTGCCCTTCAAACCACAGCAGAGCAATGTACTCTACAGTACGATGGCTGGTGAGCCGGTGTGCCTGTCATTGAATAAGTCTGCCAGTTATTGTGTTGGCTAGCCAATCACTGTGCCAGACAGATAATCAGTGTGTTGGCTTTTCAATCACTACAAAGCCAGCCAATCAGAGTGTGGACTATCCAATAATTGTGCCAGGAAGGCAATCAGTGTGTTCGCTATGCAATCACTGTGCCACCTAGTCAATCAGTGTGTTGGCTTTCCAATCACTACACCAGCCAGCCAATCAGTGTGTTGGCTTTCCAATCACTACACCAGCCAGCCAATCAGTGTGTTGGCTTTCCAATCACTACACCAGCCAGCCAATCAGTGTACGGACTATCCAATCACTGTGCCAGCCAGACCTGTAAGCCTGCTCACCTTGCAAAGAGTAGCCCATGTGGGTATGCAGCTGTCTCAGGGTGTTGCCTGCAGCGCCCATCTGAGCCATGCCCATCACTGAGGATATGCCATAGGGGGAGAAGACCAGATTCCTCTGGTTCGAGGATGATTTCGCCACTTCCTGGAAAACCCGCATTCCGAAATCCACCTGCCGTTCGGTAACCACAGTGCACAGGGCGGCCCCCACCAGACAGAACAACACGAAAACAACCTGCATCCTGGAAAAACAGAGCACAGGGGGGGCACTTGAGACCTGCAGCAGAATACATTCACGAGCATCTGTGCCAACGTGCTTGTCTCGGAAGACAAATACTGCTACTGAAGAAATCTGAGCACAACGCTCCCCAGCTATGAAAAATAACATCGTGGCGACACCATACAAGGGCTGAAGCTCAGTGTAAAAATGTGACACTGCTTGTAGACTCCAGGGGCTGTTGTTGAAACATTCTCTACAATGCTGTCACAGTTCAAATGAAATGAAATGTTAACAGAATGCTGCTGCAATGTTCACCTATCATTTTGAGATTTTGTATCAGACTGACGTCTTAATGATGAGTGTAAAACACCCCCTCATAATGTCCTCTCAAAACATATACAGCATAAATGTCATACTTGTTTGTAATATGGCCATAGTATTATGTCACAAAGAACTGCACAGGCCCAGTAAAGCTGCAAAAGCAAAATATTTTGTCTAACAGAACCAAACCACAGCCTTCCTGCAGCATTCGGATGTGTTTTACAATGTTTTTGTGTTAGCTGGGTTGGCATCACTGTCTGTGTTCACATTAATCCAACACATCTGGTAACAGACTGTACTGTATATGCGGGTTCAGTTAGAGAGGAAAATGAATGGAGAAGAAAATAGCAGAGTCTTATGCGTGTTTGATTCAGCCTTGCAATTTATACAGAGTGTGCAATGACAAGAAAATGAATAAAGTTTTTTTTTTTTTCTACAAGGGATGTGTTTTGCTCAAGGGCCTTGAAAGGCTTCGGCTGTAAAGGTATCACATTCCGACACGTCTGCCTGCGCCAGTACCAGTCTCCTGCCCTTGTGTGCTTTGTGTGTCACACTGAACACCCAGTAATCAAACATGTCCCCTCCAGCCCTGTCCAGGCGCTGTTGACACAACCTGCCCTTCTCACTGGGGCTCGGCGCTCAGCTACCTTCCTCCTGGGGCTCCAGCCATGCTCTCACCTGGGGTGAGTCCGCCCTTGCGGAGAGCTCTTAATCACAGAGTACCCCACACCTGCCTGAGCACCAGAGCTTGCTCACGTCTGAGACAACAAGGCTTTCTGGCAAACAGCACAGCAATAGAACTTAGCACCACTCATTACTCTGGTGCAGTGCAGCAGTGCAGAGGTGTTTAGAATAGTACAGTGCACTACACAATATAGTGTAGTAGCACGAGAGTACAGTAAAGTGCAGCATACAGAGAATATATTTAATAAAGAGTTAGTGCAAAGGAATTTAATATAGTACACTGCAGTACAGTTTAGTGTGATACACCATATATAATAATTTATTAACAAAGCTATTTAACCTCCACTCCAAAAGCAAAACAGAACATTAGTTCGACTGCTATGATGAATACTAATATGAATTAAATCAGTTCTTAAAAAGCAGCCCAACCATAAACTGCAGAATGTTAATGTAGAAAAAAGCTACCTGAAGTGCCTGTGGGTACTCACACTGATTTCTAACACAAACACTCCCAGTTGAAAAAGTCAATATTTGAAGAACAGTTAGTCAAACAAGGGGACTTTCTTACCTTCAACCTTGTATTTTGAATGAGTGTTGAAATGGAGTTGGAAGAAAGACAAGCCCTGATGTGCCTCTATAGCCCCTGGGTACAGATGTTCGCGGCAGCTGGGTTCTGTGTTCTGGTCAGCAGGCTGTAGGTTATGTAGTTTGGTGTCTGTTGTCTCTCTTCCTCAGTGTTGGGCTTTTGACACTGTTTTGGGGCAGCCAGTTGGCTATATATAGAGGGAGAGTGCCTTCCCCCTGCTCGCTCACACACACACAGTAGCGGAAGTTATTAGTGGGAGTGAGCTCATCTTGGCCGTCTGCACACACTCCCCCCCCCCCTCTCCCCCCCATGCTTGGGGTTTACTGTAAAGGAATTTGGAGCATGTAGACACTTCAAGGCAATGCTGCTGACAGGCTGCGTCCACAGGGAAACAGGCTGAGCGATACAACTCAATAGCTCCATGACCCTGGGGTTCCATCTGTGTGTCTTGTCACTGTGTTTGTCTCTTCCTGTCTCGGCCTCCCTCTGTCTCCATTTTCTACCTCTCTGTATGAATATCTTTCTCTACTCCTCTCTCTATACCTGTTTATCTCTGCCGCCCTCTCTCTATCTCTTTGTTTATATGTGTTAGAGGAAAGAATTCAAGGCTCATACTTGTGCGGACCACACGCACAAAAGCAAGCAAACTGTAATAAATTATTTCTAAATGTAATAAAGAGTTTTTGTTAGCTATGACTGCTGGGCAGAGGTCAGGGTGTCAAGATGTCGCTGAGGAGTTCGGCGAAGGAAAATGGGCAAACATTTGAACGGGAACACTACCACAGTTAGATGTCATGGTATTTTGCTGGGTTGAAGCTCTTTAGGCAGAGGAGCTGACAGGTTTACAGATTATTGAGGATGGAAACAGTTTGCAATAGAGGACATGGTCTATAAATAAAAATATTGGAAACATTTAAAGAAAACAAGGAAATTGGCAATTTTTCAGAGGTCTCACAGACAGGTCTGGCACTCTTGTCCAGAGAGATTAATACATCGTCCCAAAATCAATGTCCCACATTCAGCCCCCAGACCTTACAGAATGGTTAATTGCTTAATTGAACTTAATTGAGTTAAGTCAAATTGAATATGTGGTAGTGGATAAGAACAGAAAACCACAGAGGGTGGTTACAGTGAAGGTGAAGCTCTTCTTCCTTGCCGGGCTGCTCAGAAGCTAATACATCCCTTAAATCTCATTCAAACGTGTTCCAAAAGACTCCTGCAGTTCGCAGGAAAACGACTGAAAACATCAACATGAAATTGTTTAACGAGCAACAGCCTATGCTATCAGCTGAGAGTTCTGAGAGATATAGTGTGTCATAAGGAAAGGAAACTCCCTCAATTAATAGCAGATTAATCTATTCAATGAGGTCAGGGCTGACCTCCTCCCCTCTTCCTACGTGGAATTCGCCAAACTTTAAATCATCAGAGTTACAAAAAATCGGACAAAATGCTTGCGCACATACCGGCAAGTAATAGATTACAAATCAAAACCCTTATCTCTTATTTTCATCCCACCAAATGTACAGAGCAACCTAGTGAGGCCTTATTTATAGAGCTGTGCTCACTGTCGGTCGCCACGCTACAGATACAGCCTACGGACTCTAGAGTGAGTCCAAATGAAAAAGGAGCTGCTAAAGCTGTCCCCCGCTGTAAAGATGTCATCCACTGGCAGGGAAGAGGAGGTTCAGTCTTGAACGCGGGATATCGAGAGAAGATCTGATGCAAGTGTTCAAAATTATTTAAGGTTTCTAACAAGGTTGATCCAAGAAGCGAGACTTCGGGATCAGCAATTAAATGGGCACCAAGTGTCACATAAGAATGTGGGAGGCCACACATGTGGAAGAATGTGGCCAAAATGACCAGCCCTATTGCCCAACTCCCTTGATTCCCCCGAAAATGATTGGATGAGATTCCTGGATCTCAGGATCTCGTAGGTACCAGTAAACAAGTCAGCAAGGTGATCGGAACAGCCCTCTATGTTGAGTAACCTGACGTTGCTCATGAATCTCTAGCCAGAGGTGTTAAGACCCCCTAAGGCTACCCAGCGTTAGCCAAAAATCAAAACTGTCAGTTTCTTTTCTTTCACAATTCCTTGGCATTCTAGGAGCCCTTTCTCCAATTATGGAAAACCGTAGCCGGCAGCATTCCCCTGCACAGTAATCACTGCCTCATCTCCGCCACAGCCCGGCACGCTGAGACAGGCAGAGGAGAGGAATGCTGGAAGCAGACAGAAAAAGGAAGAGAGAGCAGGACCATGGGATTACTTCTATATTAGTGTACATAATGTACTTTGCAGGACCGAACGAGCCAAATCGATCCCTATGGACAACCTCCAAATATATTCTTTGTTCTGTTGTGTAAAACGTTCCTTTTGCTACTTTCCAGCTGCGGCTCGTCATTCTTGGCGCCCTTCAGCACAGACAGAACCCACGGATTTGGGATCCCGGATCAAAGCGCAGGACTCTGGTCACCCCCTGCTGTGCCATTGGCCACCAGCTGGCCTCACGGCAGGGAGAGAGGTCAGTCTGTGGACTGTAGGATTCAGGGACGGTCCCATTCTCTCAGATCACAAAACACCGCTGCAGATGAAGAACTTACATGGAATGCAGAAAAACAATCTCTGTTCAGCCTGTCCTCAACACGTCTGATATGATCAATCCCCTAGTGCTGTCGACACAAAGACACAGCAGAGTCAATGACGCACACACAGGTGGGGTGCTCCTGTGCTCTGTACCTGTGTTCCCCAGATTCAGTATTCAGATTATTTTTTTGAAGGCATCAAATCACCACAAATTAATGCATAATGAGTGAATCATACGCAATATCTTAAAAATATGCCAAATAAACATTCCAACCTACTTTTATATTGGATTCCCTTCAGAACAGGGGTAATGGTAATACCCGACCTGCATCAAACCCTTCATATCAAACAGAATCGGTACTCTGATCTCTGCGTCAGTTGCAGACATCTTCTTGTTGAACTTTCCTCACGGAGGGGAGAGACTGTAAACATTGTAAAGTCAATTCATTCAAAACGTAAACAAAAACCAAGGAAACGGCTCAGTTTTCGTGCAGGTGCGTTCGGACCTGTTATCGGGCGGGTGGGTGACGTTTAGTTCAGTCAGCCAGCCCTCCCGATGGAACAGACTGACAGAGGGAGTCACAGCGGTCCTGACACAGATTCCGACCTCGGAGATCCAGCATCGAGAACCGAAGTTGCCTGGCTTTTCCCCAACAGCTGCTACGCTGACCTGTGCGTCCTGCTATTCCACGCTTACTACACACATGGCACTTTGCTCATCAAGAGGGCGATCAGTGAATTCCCTAATTGGGCGATCTGGCACGCAAATCTGACTCTACATCCCCCGCGGTTCAGACCCACAGGGGTGATGGGGAGAGCACGCCGCGGTCCACGTGTGGGGTAACATGTACAGCTCGGACGTCAGGAAGGGCCACACGGCACAGGCTCACACAAGCTGAGAGAGAGGAATGTTGGGTCGGCTCCCACTTCTGTACCTCCCTCTATCCTGGTTTACCCCGTCGCCACGGCAACACTAATATAGTTTATTTGGAGCGCACAAGGGGGGTTTGGAGGAGGCCAGGGAGGGGAGTCCTCTGATCTTCCCAGGAAGAAATTCGTAATGCCTTTTCATTTCTGGACTTGTGCTGAACAGTTTACAAGCTCGTTACAGACATAAACACGCAGGCACACACATGCCAGGGCCACAGAATGACACAGTTGGCGGTTCGGCACGCTATACACTACTTGCACATGGGGAAGGACATAGAAAGACAGAGGAATCTGGGGGAGAAGGTTTACCTCTTGGGTAAAAAAACAAGGTGTCACACTGTTGTGGTGGATCACCGCACCGGCACAGACTGTGGATACAGGTTTCTGAAAAGCAGAAGAAAAGCTCGCGTGGAAAGCTTCTGGAAGTGATCTATAAAACAGGAACAATCCTGGAAAACTCGTTTTCCTAAAAACACAGCGAGCTACCAGAAACGCAGAAAGAGCTGGGCCAGAGGTGAGGGAAAGCTGTGATGAAACTGTCGTGTATAACCATGAGCGCCCAAGCGCACAGGCAGTTCCGCCAGGTTTCTTAAAAGTCCTCCTGCGCCCCTCCTCTTAATCAGCCTGTCTTAATCACCTCACACACACAGAGTGAGTCGCGCTGAGGCTGATGGACGGGCCAGACAGACAGACAGCAGCCGGGAGGCATGGGGAGACGTGAAGTTCTGGTGTGGGGCTGACTCAGAGGGGACAGTGACTGGCTGCTGAGAGCACAGGAGAGTCAGCAGCTCTTATCTGAGATCCCTCTGGATTGCAGCATCTCCTGGAAGCACAGGGAAGCAGATCACACCCTTGGGTCGACACATCTGTCCCTGTGAACGTCCCGACTTTCTTTTTCATTTTTACATTTAGGTCATCACAAGATCCGACTGCTCGATGTCATTTCTGTTTCACAGGTTCAAAGACCTCTATAAAAGAATTCACCGTTCACAGAGGTCAATAGGGCTTCTTACGTAAATCCAGACTTTGATGCCTGCTAACAGGGTTCTTGATCAGTGGGTGGTGGGCTAAGGAGGTTATCCACTTATAGGGACAATACCAGACCATGTATTTATACAGTGACTGGCCATATTAGGAATGCCCAGTCAGATCAATAGAAACACTCAGTAGCAGGGTAAAGGAGAAAGGAGAAAGAGGCAACCTTCCATCACCTGCCCTGGACAGAGCCAACCCCAGATCTCAAAGCTATTGAAATGCTGGGGTAACCACTGGAACAGGTAGTGTACTGCCCCCCCACCACACACTATTGCCCCTCATTATAACCCCAATCGAAGGCAGTCCCGCTGAAGGAACAGACTGGGAAGGGGCTGCAGGTATTTCAGATCCCTGTGGAACACATGCCCCTGCTGCTCGCAAGGCTCCAGCCACACGATTCGGTGAGGGCGCCTCGCATGTTTGCCAGAGTGCTTGGCTACAGCCCAACACTGCCGCAGCAAAACCCAGACTCAGACTAGCTGATCCGTCACTGCCGATCCCCACCCCATCATCAGGGCCCAAGTGTTGATTACGCTCAAGAGACGCCGTGCTGAGCAGCCGCCCAGGAGAGCCAGCTCTAATCAGCGGCTCCCGAAGAAGGCATCCATCTCCCCGATTGAACCAT